CCAAACAGAAATGAACCATATTCTTGAAAAGCGAAAGATTAAACAGTAGTTTATGATACTTACAATACAACTGTATTATATACATCCAGTATATATATCCCGTAGTATTTAACAATTCAACTATTTATTTATTTATTCCTTCGATTTATATACCGCTCACCCCCTAAGGGCTCTGAGCGGTTTACATCATACAAGTTGATACCATTCCTAATCTAAGGCCACACACATACAATGGGGAAGTGACTAACCTAGCAGGCACCCTATGGTGGAGTCTATTCTCTAAGATGATCCTGTCAAATTTTAGTGTAAATACTCTGGTGAGTTTCAGACAAAACAATGTAACGTGTGGGTTAAAGGATGGGGACCATACTGCAGACTTGTGTACTTCTTCTCCCCACTCTCTCCCAACCACTACCACATGTATTTCCTGGTTTCCTCTAACCACAGTTTGCCATGATGTAGGAATCAGGCATAATTTAAAGTGATGGACTACAGTAGGTATTCAAACCATAGTTAACTCCTGAACACAACTGCATTTACTCTGACTCATCTTCAAAATATTCTTGTGTACCCAACTCTGATTGGCTACACGCAGCCATGACATAGTTACACAGGCTGTGTGATCCTTCGTTGTCTGGATCACATAGCTAGAAAGAAAGAAAAAGGCAGCACTGAAGCATCTACTGAGAACAAGAGAGAACCAATGAAAAAATATTACATGGGGGGGGAGGCAATGGAGAACATTTCAAGAAGGCCAACACTCCTTTTTGATGACAAACATGATTATGCCCTCTACCACACATTCTGCAATTGCCCAGTTTGGGTGTCACAGCAGACTATGGTTAGAGGAAATAGGAAAATGAATGAAGGAATTAGTATGTGAGGGGAAGAAAGGAAGGAGTGTAAGAGCCAGGGGCAAGTTTCCAAACAACTTGGATGATTATCTAAAGAAAGCGTACGAGCTTTGCATAATTTTTTGTTAAAAAACTAATTTTGTAATTCCTCATTTCAAAAGAAAGATTTCTTACTAAGAAAAACTTGGATGTGCCAAAATCCATGTTTTGATTCTAACATACTTGCTGCTAAGGCAAGCCCAAGACACTTTATAACATACCTATTCAACCCTTGGGGAGGCAAGCTGGCTTTGATGATAAACTGTCTGAACCCAAGTCCCCTAATTAGCAAGGTAATTAGCAACACCATTTACTTACGAAACAAATTTTCCTACTTCCACCTGCAGTATGGGTTCACGTAACTGAGTTTCTAGGAGTAACTCTTCAGCTTGCACAGGATCTCCAGGTTTTGCAGGATGGGGATTATAGATTCTAAGAAATCCCATGTAACTGCCCACAATTATTTTATCTGAAAAATAAACATATGCAAGCGGTAACTTTGACACACCTTTATGGGCATATGGCAAGAGGTAACACTGAAACTTATAAGCCTGATCCTATCTTGAGGTGCTCAGGATGGATCTCAGGGTTATAGTCTTACAGCCCATTTCTAAGAATAGTAACTCAGAATTAATGCTCTTAAAAGTTCAACAAAACATACTTACAACTTAACACATATGGGACTGCAGCTTCAAATGAACACTATACAACAGGGATCACATTTCCCTATGTCTATTTGCCATTTTAAATCGGCTAATGAATTCCTCTTGGTAACTCCATCAGTTCTCCAAGTGGAGATGGCCTCAGCAAGAATTCATTACTTCACCATGAGAGCCCTTGCACTCTGAAACTGCCTTTTGGAAAGTCCAGCTGGCTCTTTCCTTCTGTGACTTCACAGGGCAGTTGACCAAACAAGTTGGGCAACTGCTCTTTAAGCTGTGTATGGATAGTTTTAGTGTGGATTTTATATTTGTCACTGTAACTTTAAATCTGGTGTACTGCAAATGAGTTTGGAATTTTTTGGAGAAATGGGATATACATTTTCAAAATAATAGCCACACATTAAATCTACAAAACAAAAGTTTCCACTTACCTTGTCCACTGCTGCTGTTGTCAACATTTGCAACACACAAGCATCCTTGATCAAATTCTTCTTTATTGCCAACTGCTGTAGACCACCAGTCACGGGCTTTAAATAAAGACATTATCCTTCAACCCTAGTGAGGAATTAACAAATTATTTGAAATCAATATTTAGTATACTATTTATAGTCAAATTGCAGTTTTTAGTAAATACTTAAGCAAATGACCCTAACATCTATTCATTATTTTCCCGGCCACAAGAGGGCTGCTGATACATTTAGTTGTGGAACATAAAAAGCAATGGTGGACTTGACCTTGCATCATCTTCAGTCTCCTTATAATATACTCTCTTAAATAACTTCAGTTATTATTTTGGATAGACTGACTCTTCTATACTCACTTGTTCCAAAAAAATGAACATGATGGGGTGTAATCCCACAATTTAAAAGGAAAACACATCTTTTGGTATTGTATTGGAGACAGAAAGAAAAAAATCACAATACAGCATGGTGTTGTGAGCCTGTTTCCCCCACACACACCACATCACATGCTGCTTTTTAGAACTCAGATGACCTTCAAAAGCAGCTTGTAAAGCTGGGTTGAGGCTGCTGAGAGATGAGGAGAGATTAACATCCTGTATAATACATATGCAAGTCTTCATGTGCCTGGAAGAAACCAGTGGATCACATGCATCACATTCACTCACACAGATAATAGTTGCCCATACCAAACAAACATTAACATACCACAAGTTAATGACTTAATTCTGCCCATTACTCATTTATAAAATATCTTTACACAGAGTATTCAGTATGAGAAATGAGCTCTATGCCAGCTATCAGGCATATCTATAGCTTAAATTATAATAGAGCATGTTTCCTCCCTCAAAAGGGCTAGGACAATCAAATTGCAACTTCCTTCAAGAACAGCAAAGCTTTTTTTTTACCTTGCAGAAAGCAGATCTAAAAAGCCATGTGCAGAGTACATACAACAAGCTAGACTAAGAAACCTTCTAACCGTAGTCTCTTGCAACCCCCCAAAAGCTGCCCTTGCAAGTTGGGGAAGCAGGAGCTTTAACAGAAACCTCAACATGGTATTAACAGCTGCAATTAGAAAGAAAAATCAAAATCTTCTTCTCCATGAACCAAAATATGTCCTCACATATAGGCTACTTCAGTCCCGACTCATCTAAATGGGAAGTGTTATATATTAAAACAGCAAATGGCAAGGTAAGATTATAAAGTGAAATCCCTTAATAGCACAAATCAATCAACAGCAATTAACAAGTTCCCATTGATTTTGATGCATCAGGACTCCACCCATGAACAAGTCAAGCATCTAGGCCTCTGATGTAATCACTTTGCAGTTGCCCTTAAGACACAAGGAACTCAATCTAGCAAGACACAAATAGAATACTCTAATACCTGCCTGCAGTTATTTGGAACACAGTGAAGAAGAAGCAAGGATCCTTGACTCAGCCTAGAAATACTAGGATAAGTACAGCAATGCAAACATTTTAATTATGCACACCAAATACTAGCTTCTTTTTAACATACAAACAAGTTGTTCAGATCTTAGTAAGAAAAACTATTGAAGCACCTGTTGCACACCCAAATCCCATTACTTTTCTTTAGACATATGCACCTGAAACACTTGCCACAAAAAAAACCCACTAGATATTCTCTGTAGACCCTGGCAACACATGTATTTGTTTAACTTATCCTACACAAGAGAGAAAGTGTGTTTGCATTATACTTAATTATCCATCCAACTCAATACTAAGGAATCTTACTCATAGGTACCAGCAACTTCAATGTCAATTATTCCCATAGAGCAAGATGGCAAACATATACATGGTTATCAGTAAGCGCCACTGAACATAATGGAACTTGCCTCCACTAAATATACATAAGGAGTGATAGCTGAGCAGAAATCCTACACCTGCCTAGGTGTAAGCTGTACTCAGTTACATTGGGCCTTACTTCTGAAGCAAATGCATAAGTTCTGATAGTAAGGCAGAATTCTAAACACACTTACCCGGGAGTAAGCCCCCTTGAAGACACTGGGACTTACTTCCAAGTAAACACCCGCAGACTTGGAATACCAAACGTCACAGGTGACTAGAGTGCCTTTTCCACTACGCAGAACACAACACTAAGCTCATCTAATCTACTTACCCGACTTGTCCAGCGATCTTGGGGAAGGGGACTCTCTTCTCCCCTGTGTCCACCCCTCCACCACCAAACTTTCAGTTATACAGAAGTAGCAACGGCACCAGCCCGTGCAGGGAGGCTCGAGTGTGCGTGTGTGAAGCGTGCATTAAGATGCTCGTCCCCGAGGCTCCGTCTACCCCGACAGGCAGCGAGAGTTGTTGCTGTATGTCAAGGTCCAAGAGAGGAGCGACTCCGTCCTTGTCACAAGCGCTGCTTGCGGAAGGGGAGTCTACTGAGGGCGACCACGAGGGAAATCACAACTGGCAGAGACTGTGGGGAAATATAAAACAACTTTCCCAAGACAAATTCCAGAAGGGGGAGAAAAGCTGAGTGTAAGGACTCGGGTAGCTGCTAGTACTGGGCTAAGTAAATAAGTAAAAGCCGAGACCATCCTTCTAGCCTACTCTGCCGGCCGCCATTTTTGCCCCCGTTGTCATAGCGCCTCAACAACCAACGTCAGCCCCGCCCACTGCCATTCTCGACCAACGGCGCCAGAACAAGCCTCCTCAAGTCGGCGGCGGCGGCAGGAGGTACCATCGTTTCAGGTGCGCGCGGTATGCTGGGAAACGTAGTCTTCGCCCCCCCAAAACTAAACTGAGGGAAACGAGTGATGCGTCGAACTATTTTGTGTGGGAAGGAGGGGAGGTGCCCTTGTATTTTTAAAAAACACGAAAGAAGCCCTATTGTCCTCCTCACCCCCACACCCTTTCAGCCATTATTTGTTTGGTAGCGTAGACTCACGCAGAACCTACCGAAAAGAACCCCCCCCCCAAAAAAAAGAAACACGAAAGCGTCACAGAGGCTTCAGCCCCGCTGTCGTCAGAGTGGTTTCTCCCTCCCGACCGTGTTCCTCCCCATGCTTAACCTTCCCTTCCCTCAAATAAGGAGCGTTTAACCGTCGTTTGTTTCGGTTGGTGGCGCGCGCTGTGTGGGAGAAGGGAGAGACGGGGGGGATTCGACTAGTGAGGGGGGCCTCGCCGCCGCCGCCCCTGTCCCCCCTCTCCCGGCATAAGCAGGGATTTGTTTTGTTACGGAGCGTCGGTGACGGCCGTGCCGGGAGAAGAAGGCTGCCTGCGGCTACCGTGCCCCCGCCTCGATCGACGCTGCTCCCGGGCTCCGAGGCAGGTCGTTGTTATGGACAAGAGCGCCGTGGCCAAAATGGGAGCGGTGGCCAGCGCCAGCGTGTGCGCCCTGGTCGGCGGGGTGGTGCTCGCTCAGTATATCTTCACCATGAAGAAGAAGACGGGCAGAAAGACCAAGATTATAGAGATGGTAGGCGCATGGTGGTGGTGGTGGTGTGTTTAGGAAGCCTCGGGAAGAGGTCATAAACCCGCAGCGCCCCGGTGCCAGGTGGGAACATCTGTGCCTGGTTTCTGTTGCCCCTCCAAAGGAACTGGTTTGAATGGGAAAACAGGAGGCTGGACTAGGCCGGGCCACGGGTCTGATCCGGGGGGGTTTCCTCAAGCAGTTTACCAGAATAAATAGCTGGACATCAATTCAATACTGCTCCCTCGCTGAATTTGAGCTGGGGTTTTACTTCGGAATAAGCATGCTTTAAGTCCAGGCTGCTGCTCTCTACATGCACGCTTCCAGGGGGGAAATTCCTGGAGGGCCAGGGGCACCTTTGGGAGGGACGTTTATTCTTGAGTGGACTGCATAAGGTGGAGCCCCCTTCCTCAACTGTTAGTGAGTAGTAACTTAACAGAGCTTGTTCTGAAACAAGTGTGTGTGTGTGTGAGAGAGAGAGAGAGAAAACACAGGACAGAGGGAGTATAAGCCTATGTATCCTGTTGGTAGGGGAAAGACCGAAATGGAAGAGAAATTATAGGATAGGAGCTGGATGGGAAGAAAACGGTCGCAAACTTCTTTTAAGGTGCGTGCTAGGACCCATATAGATCCACAGATTCAGACAAGTATCAAAATATTTCACATCTGCTGCTTGTCTATTAAAGGCCACTCAAACTGCGAAGTCTTAACATTATTTCAGTCTATATTTCAGTCAGTGGTGTTAACTGTCGGTTCCCCTTCTTAAGGTTAGTTTGTCTTTAAGATGGCACTGGACTCCTGTTTAATTTTGAGGTAATGGTAATTGTCTGGAATTGGCTTCTCTAGGAGTAAGCCTTATTGGCTATGCAGTGTCTGGCTATGCAGTAATAGCCCTGTGCAGGCTTGACTTGGAAGCAAGGTGCTGAAGAAAGTGCAGGTTATTGCAGTAGATTTAATGGCATTCTTATGTTCCCTTAATACAGTGTGAGCATGCCTTAAAATAAGTGGGGCTTGCTCCTTAATACAAATGTTTTTTGAGGCAGGCATGTTCTGTACTTGTGTTGTTAGAACTTCCTACTAAATGTGTATGGCACTGCAGTTTGAACCTGAGGAGATTAGAGAATATAATTATTTGAACACGAGGGGATTAGATAATATAATTATTCATTCACTAGAATTATATAGGTAGCTAAAGACTTGTAATTGCAGAACATGGGGCATGATATTTTGTGCATGACACAGAAACTAGAAATAAAAACATGATTAGGTGATTAAGTCCGTTCTCAGTCGCATATAGCTATTTAAGAGAGGAGAACTGGATAAGTAGCATTCAGCTAATATTGTGCTTTTAGGAAGTATTTGTAATTTCAGAAATGCGAAACGTGCTTCTGAAAAAGTGTGAAATGGTTGTCAAAAGGACTGAGTAATCCCTTCCTTAGTTTTGATTCAGAAAAAAGTACATGTTGTAAATCAGCAAGACTGGCAGTTTACTAATCCTTGGCTAGGAACAAGTTATCAAATACACTATTGTGTACTTGTTTTAAATGTAAACTTAGAGCTTTGAATACAGAACTGCCCCAAGCCACTTGTCGTTTGGCCCTTAATTATAAACCTCTGACAATAATTTTAAACAGTATACTTTAACAAATAATGAACAGTATTGTCTTGTTTATACAAGCACGAAACAAAATATCGAAATCATTCAATTACATTGGGGTTTAAAGGGTAAGTGAGCTTCAAGCAGAAGACCTGATGTGTTGCAGGGGAATATTTACATTCTCCATAATCCTGGTGTTACTTGTTTCTGTAAAAGTTGGGAGACTTGCTCTTGGCCAGAAATGGAGTTGAGCATAAGTTGTGGAGGGGCAAAACCATCCCCAGCATGATCCTGAAATCAGTTATATGTCTTGATCAGAGAGTAGCAGTAGTGTTCAAGTAGTATTAAGGAGACAGGCACAGCATGTTCTAACTAGTTTTGTTGTTGCTTTCCTTTTCTGTAGTAGTGCAACAATCCTCACCACTCAGTTAGAGGACTAGGATCAGTTTTGGCTGTTGTTGTTTTTTGCTAGGCAACAGTGAAACATTTACTTCCTACAGTTCCTCTTCTTCTTCTTGAACTATACAGTAAAATAGCTCTTTGTTATGGAGTTATGATTCTAATATGTTTAGATGTTCCTCATATTTTTAAAGTGCAATGAAGTGAGAGGCTCATTAACCACTCCTCTTGAGGAGGTGCTTTGCTACTCAGTTGTCACTGAAGTCAGTGATCTTTTAATTAGCTCTTTCGAATCTGTTCTCAGACGCATACATAAGTAAGTTCCATTGTCTTTGTTCTGGTTTTGTTTAGCTGTAAAAATCAGAGATCAAGAATGGACAGGGAAATAAATACCTATTTAGGTGTCAGTAAACTCTGCTATTAGTCATGCCTTTCCAGCTGCTTTGCACTTCATGTTTGGAAGAGAATGTGCATGTGCACATATATTCAGTTCAGACAATTAAGAATGCGGTTTAGAATCCAAACCATAGGTTGAGTTTCCCAGTGTGCATATAACCATGGTTTAGCATTTCTTGACCATTTTTATTTTCTTTTTGCTCACAAGTTATTCATTAAGTTCATTTTTATTCATCCGTTCTCCAAGGAGTTTAGGACAGCATACACCATTATCTTCTCATTCATTTCATCCTCATGATAGTGAGGTGGCTGAGACAGAGATTAACTGGGCCAAGGTAACCCAGCAAGTTACGTGCCAGATCTGGCATTTGAACCTGGGTCTCCCAGATCCTAGACCAGCACTCTGATCACTACACCATACTGGCTCATCATATCAGATGGTAACTGTGGTTTTAAAATTACAGTGCATACCCCAAACTGTGGTTAAAATATTATTTAGCATGATGTCAGCACAGAGCTGGTAGATGTTTGGGAATGTAATTTTTGTTAAAAAGTTGGCTTCATGTGTACCATTTGGAGTTCTGTTTCTCACAGAAGATGAGCAGCCAGAAGACATTAAGTAGCACAGTGTATAAAATGTCAAACCTGTACTGGAGAAGAGGTTTAAAGGAGGACGTGGTTTCATATTCAGTCAGCTTCTAGCAGCATTGCAACTGTAGAGAGCCAGGCTGTGGTGATCAGACTACAGCAGTAGAGCTGTTCTAGCATAAGACCACTGCTAACTCTTTTGCATACGTGCAGACTTATACCGTATGCAGAAAAATATTTGCTCATAAATTAAAGAAAGGAGGGAAGCCAAAAATGATTCATAGAGGACTGAGCACTTGCAGTGCCTTACAGGAGCCACAGAAAGCTGAGAACAGAAAAAATGAAAATGGAGGGAGAGGGAACAGATTTTGAGCACCTAACAGAGACTCTCTGCGCTAAATTATAAGCTTTTAAATGCTGTTTGAAGCAAAACAATTCAGTGTGGGTGTTTATTAGGTCTGAAGAAGAAGCAGTTATTCTGGTCCTAATTAACAGTCCCATTCTCTTTAAGCTGTGAAGTAGAATGAAACTCTAATTGTTTGTTATGCCCTGGATTTTGGGGGAGGTAAGATTAGGCTGTACCCAGTCCCTGTTTCTTTTCCAAATTCTCTTGTGCAGGTAGGGATAGAGTTATAATCTCTCACATTAGGGAAGCTGAAAAGAATACAAGTCCAGTGGCACCTTTAAGACCAACAAAGTTTTATTCAAGGTATAAGCTTTCTTGTGCATGCAGAGTTCTTCAGATCCATTGAAATGGAAGTTGCCAGTCCATACATACAGGTAAAGGGTGAGCAGCAAATTAGCATATAGCTTAATAAAATCATTTGACAGATGCAAGGATTAATCATTTGACAGATGCAAATGGACTAACAAGCTTAGTTTATGTGGTCACCATTTGTTTGGGCTTGATTCTTGGGGGGAGAGGAAGCATAGTGAAGGAAATAAATATATCAACATTGGATATTGATGGGCAGATGTACCCTTAATTGTGGGATGCTGAGAGTAATTAACTGAATCCCTGCTATCACACTCCATTCATCTCCTCTAAAGCATGGAGGCAACTTATAGCATCCTCTTCTTTGAAGTAGGGCGATTGGCTGTGCAGTGTATCTCCTCTGTCCCCAGCCCAGAGAAATACATTCCAATCAACTATTCTAATTGACTATTCCAAATAAGAAATAAAATAAGGAGGATGTATAGCCCTTCTGGGGGATGGTTGGAAAACAGATGTAAGGACTGAATGAGGTTAGCATGCATGGTGAGATAAAAAAATCTGAAGTAGTTATGGGTGAGAACAAAATGGCAGTTTAGTGGCAAGGTCAGCTGTGGTGTTGACAGAAAACATGTGTGAATATACTGGATGTCAGTGGTTCAGGGAGCACATAGCCTTACAGCTCAGCCAGTTCTCACTGTTCTATGGTGGTAGGACTTTCCATTCAGTTATCCCTGACCTGCCCAAGGCAGTGTACAAAATATTTAAAAATACAAGGTAATTCAGTCAGCCACTTCAGTAAAATCGGAACAGCCAATGACTATTCCAGTAAAAATAAATATGCACCAATAGGAAAACAGGAATACAGTGAAACAAAGCGGTAAAAGCAACAATAGCAGGAATATAGCCCAGAAGCCTGGCAGAACAAGTTTACTTAGTCATTTATTTACTGTGTTTGTATGCTGCCATTAATAGGACTCTTCATGTGGCTTATAATTTAAAACATGGAAAAAAACAACAGTACAGCAGTCTACTGACTGTCTTTCTTAGGACATTGGTGGCATGAGATGCCTGGCTTTTCCTTTCTTGTTTCAGCTGTCAGACTGAACTCCTATGTGGTTGAGCTTTTAGTCTGCAAAAAAGTGCTTAAGGTACAGTGAGTCTGGGCCATTTATGAGTCAGGAATTGCCTGTCCCTTGGGTTTGTCTGCAGTCAAGTTGGCGGTTGGTCATAGATCTATAGTGCAATCATTAAGGGATTTTTACAGCAGAGTAGGTTGGGTTATTTGTAATTTAGCATCAGGGATACCAAGCT